GTACTTGTGTATGTGTGTATTTTTTTTTTTCATCTCCCAAAGGATATAGATAAAAAACCAGAACTCAGGGTCACTCAACCACTGAGCCACATCCCCAGCCCTATTTTGTATTTTATTTAGAGACAGGGTCTCACTGAGTTGCTTAGCGCCTTGCTGTTGCTGAGGCTGGCTTTGAACTCTCTATCCTCCTGTCTCAGCCTCCTGAGCCCAGCCTGTTACCTGGTTTTCTATCCCTTTCCAGAAGTATTCCCTGCATATTTAAGCATAGTGTGCATTATTTAGCACCATGAATTTACCAAAAAGGGAACACGTGGGACATATTGTGCTGGTGTTGATTCCCCCCACTCCATGTCTCTAAAATCCCTGGAGGTCAGTCTACATCAGCACACGAAGACCTCCCTTGGAGAGATGAAGGAAGGTGTTCCTGACAGAGTGCACAGTCTGGCAAAGGCCTGGAGGCAACATTGAATTTCTTTCCCAATCTCTAGAATGTTCAAGTGCAAGGTCTTTAAGGGATTTGAGGACAAATATAAGGTGATTCGGCTGCCCSGGTAGAGGGAAAACAGGTAGAAGTCGCTAACCCCAGCGAAAGCAGGACACTGAGCTTGGGATTCCCAGCTCTTCCCATTGGCCTCCTTACATCCATCCATCCCACTTCAGCCTCCTGGACCCCTCCTGTCCTGACAGCCTTCTCCCCATGGGCCAGTCCAGATGCCTTTGCCTGACATCCGGGACTTTGGGCTGATTGCTGCCCCATCTGGTGCAGTCGCTTTACTCGCTCCAGCTCCAGCTAAGCAAAGTCCTCTTTGCATCCTGCCAGTGCCCTGCCTATTCTACCTCCAGATCTGGGCCTGGGTCATCCTCAGCTCCTGCTCTCCCTGCCCCCCAGCCCGCGGGTGGCATTTTGGAGAACCTGTCAGCTGAGTGAAATGCCACTCCTCTTACGGACCCTCCCTGCAGAGGGCTGTCTCCATAGGACACAGGGGACAAATGGCACCACCTTGGGCTGGGAGGGGGGTGTCAAGCCCAGAAGCCCAAGGCCCCCCTCGCACTCTGGCCCCTGCTACTGAGGGCATCCTAAGGCTGTGGCTGCAAGGGACAGGGAATGGTCAGAACAGAGGTGGGAAGAGCTTCTCTTTCTGAGGTGTATCCACTGAGTTTGGAGCCGAGCCCTTTCTAACCACCATCACAGTTCACCTTCAGACGGTGGGGTGGGTTGACACCGGCCCTTCACAGATGGAGCAGCTGAGGTCCATGCGGGTCCTTGATTTGCCCAAGGTCATACAGCCTGTGTGGGGTGTGGGGTTCAGACCAGATGTTCCAGTCTCTTCCCTGAGACAGGCTCATATCAGTGACCTCAGTGACCTTCCACCTCTCACCCAGGAACACCTGCACCCATTTCCCTGTTGCTTAACAGATTAAAGATCCTGGGTGGCTGCAGCAGGGTAGGGTGGGGATCCCAGGGCTGCAGGGGTGTATCTTGGTGGCCTCCTCACCTCCCTGCCTCCTTCCCCCTGCCCACTCCCTGGCCAGATCTGGACAGCAGGGACTGCAGCTGCATGGTGCCGGCTGAGAAGACCCGCGTGGAGAGYGTGGAGCTGGTTCTTCCCCCCCATGCCAACCACCAGGGCAACACCTTTGGGGGTCAGATCATGGCCTGGATGGAGAATGTGGCTACCATTGCAGCCAGGTGGGGGCCTGGGCTCTGCTTGCCTCCCTGCTCTTCCTCCCCTTAGTGCTCCCTTGGATGGGGACACTTGCTGGCCCTGCCATGCAAGGCCTCAGAAACTTGGCTCTTCATTAGGGTAACCCAGGGTTTTTGAAGAACCAGAGAGAAAGGGTTTCCTGCGAGCTGACCATTCTTTCCTCCACTTATAGAGTCCACCTCGTTCCCCCTGGACTCCTGGGAGACACCAGCCCTGGCCAGGCCCTGCAGCCTCCCCTTGGTCTGGCCCTGCCCGCTTTTCCCAACAATTTCCACTCCCTTTAAATCAAGCCATCGCTGTCACTGTTCCCACRCTCTGCGTTCCTGGCCCCTGGCTCCAATCCTGGTGTGGCCTCCTGCCACACAGCCCCCATGGTGCTTTGTTAACCTGCCACCTCCCCCTCAAAGCCACCTCTGCCTGTTTCCTTCTTCCTGGTGGTGATAACAATTGCTGTCTCCTGTAACCCCTGTACCTCCCSGGCTTGTTCTACTCTAAATATCAATTTTGTGTGTGTGTGTGTTTTTTAAATAGTTTTGGTAACTGACATTCACTAGTGGACACTGTCATATCTCCCTGAAATACTTGCTGTCCCTTCTTCCAGGAGCGTCCTCCCAGCCCATGCCCTCCCCCAGGCTGACTCTTCCTCATCCTTAGAACCTGGCTCAGGTGGCCCTTCTCTGTGTTAACCTGGGGGAGAGGTACTTAAGCGGTACCATTTGGGACAGTTCTTGACTTTGAGTGCCATGAGGTCTCAGACTAGATGGAGAGTTTAGATGGTCAGGAAGGGCTTCTTGGAGAAAGAGTGCCTTAGTGGACTCTTGAATGACAACTCTGGGACAGAGGGGCTTAGCAGGTACTAAGGTATTTACTAAGGTATTGGGAGGAAGATGAGGAAGGCGCTTTCTTCTATCTCCTAAACTCAGCTCCTTCCAGCCACTCACATGGACCTCAGTATTCTAAGCTGTGAAATGGAACTCAGTGCAGAACTGTCTCTGGGTTGGGTTAGAGGGTGATACTCTGGTCCCAGGATGAGTCTGGGTGTGGGGGCGTGCTCAGGCTGGCACAAGCCAGTGGCTGAAGCCCTGGGGGACACGTCTCCTGTCTCCTCACTCCCGGCCCCTCAGCCGGCTCTGCCGTGGGCACCCCACACTGAAGGCTATCGAGATGTTCCACTTCCGAGGTCCGTCCCAGGTTGGAGACCGTCTGGTGCTCAAGGCCATCGTGAACAACGCCTTCAAGCATAGGTGAGGAGCTGGGCTGGGTGGGGCTGAGGGTGCTCCCTGACCCCACAGAGGAGCTACATGCAAACCTGCCAAGACCTCCACCCTGTGAACTGGATCTAGACCCTGCCTGGCTGCCGGTCCCTCCACCTCACCCAAGTGTAGTGCCAGTGTTCCCTCCTCTGGAAGCTCCCCTGCTGCCCACTCTGTAGGGTCAAGGGTCCTGGGCAGCATGTGGGTAGCAGCGACTGAGCTGGTAGCGCCTGGCTGCGAGAAMGCCTGGGAAATCTGTAGAATGGGCATTTCCTCCAGCGAGGTGGTCCATCTCCACCTCTCACAATGACCCTTGAGGTCTGACGTGACCTTTTAGGACTGCTTCTGTGTTTGTAGGCTCCTCCCCTGCTGTGAGCCCACGAGGCACTGACTGGACAGGACTATCCATTTCTGTGTCTCACAGGCTGGGCCCGGTGCTCTGTGCCCTGTAAACACTCTGTAATCAGTGATGGAAGGGGACACTTCTAGGTTCCTGCCAGTGGGACTCTGTGCACCGTGTGTGTGTGTGTGTGTGTGTGTGTGTGTGTGTGTATGCGCACTTGCTGGGGAGGGGCATGGCTGGGAAGTTCCATCCAGCATGGCAGCCGACCCTTCCCCCTCAGCATGGAGGTGGGCGTGTGCGTGGAGGCCTATCGCCAGGAGGCTGAGACCCACCGGCGACACATCAACAGCGCCTTCATGACCTTTGTGGTCCTGGAYGCAGATGACCAGCCCCAGATGCTGCCCTGGATTCGGCCTCAGCCTGGGGTAAGCTGGGCAGCACCATGCCCCCCATGAGCTCCCTCCCCTCCTCTCTGCCTCTGACAGGCCTGGGGACTGAGGGACCCGGCCCTGGTGCTCTGCTGGGGCCCAGCCAGCTCTGAGCGCCCTGGCCATGACTCTGGGGTGTCCCTGAGGAAAAGGCACACTGGGCAGGACTTGGATTGGGTGTATGGGTCTGGCTGGTGTCAGATGTTCATGGTCCTGCAAGCGCCTGCAGAATTGGGAAGAGGCCTGGCATTTGGGTCAGAACCTCACCTCGTCACATTCTCATGGGTGGCCTCCTGAGCTTTCAGCCCCCATCTATAAAATGGGTGTGTCTGTGTTCCCTGCCTCCCAGGGCTGTGGGGCTCACGGGGTGCCTGGCTAAGCCTGGAAGTATTCAGAGATGTCAGGATGAGGGGACAGGGGAGTAAGAGGCACAGGGTGAGTGAGGGTCAGGGGCCTGGGCTCAAAGGCTGTCCAAAAATGCTGCTTGTGCTTCTCATGGACCAGGTGGTGACCTTGTAGTGGCCACCTGGTCTTTCCAGGAAGGTCCCCTGCCGCAGGGAGCAGGCAGCAGGAGTAGCTGGGGGTGGGGGTCCAGCCTGAGGTGGGGGCTGCAGCCTTTGGTGCTCACGAGTGGGGACTTAGGAGGTGGGCTCCAGGCCAGGCCATCTGAGCTCTGATCCCCCGGACCCCGAGACCGTGGGCAGCCACACAGCTCTGAGGATCAGTTTCYTCCTATGTAAAATGGGTGGACTTGGGGCTGCTGTAAGAGTGGATGGCATTGCAGGGGGAGTCCGTGGGCCAGCGGCTGGTTCACAGCAAGTACCCAGTAAACGTGACCAGTGCAGGTGCCCTCTAAGGATCCACATCTCCCAGAGGAGGAAACAGGCCCAGTGAGGGGAGATGGCGTCCCCAAGGCCATTCACGGAGGCCTGGAGCTGCGGCCCAGTGCCCTTGYACTTTCCTGGCTACGATCTTTTAACTCTGGCTGCCCCCGTGAGATATAAGCTCCACTTTAGGCTCCAAGGCCTCTCCTGGCCCTGGGGACAGTTAGGGGCAGAGTTGGGGTTAGCTGGTTGTGCCACTCACCCCACACCTGTCCCCGCTTCCTTCCCAGGAGGGCGAGCGACGGTACAGAGAGGCCAGTGCCAGGAAGAAGATCCGCCTGGACAGGTGAGGGGGGGCTCCCGGCAAGTTTCAGGGTTCTGTGCTGCTCCACCCACCCCAGGACACTTGACTTCCCTCAAGGCTGCTCATGGGYTAAGGCTTTTATTTTGGCCTCATTTATATAGTGGTCTTATGACCCATGGTAGGGGTAAGGACATTGGGGACATAGGGGTTAGGTGGCTTGCCCCCAGGGACACAGATAGGTGCCACTATAGTCTGCATTTGAACCTAGCCAGGCCTGAGGTGATTTTTTTAAAATATCAAAATAAAAATTTAAAAAAATTTAAATTTTTAGTTGTTGATAGACCTTTATTTTATTTACCTATTTTTTATGTGGTGCTGAGAATCTAACCAAGTGCCTCACACGTGCTGAGCTACAACTCCAGCCCCAGGCCTGGGTGATTTTAAATCCTGTATTCATCCCATCAACCCTGAGGCCTGTGTGTCAGATGAAGAAAGAAAGACTTAGCTGAGCATGGTGGCATACACCTGTAATCCCAGTGACTAGGAGGCTGGGGATCTCAAATTTGAGCCTAACATGGGCAACTTAGCAAGACCCTGTCTCAAAAAAAAAAAAAAAAAAAAAAAAACCCACAAAAGGGCTAGGGATGTGGCTCAGTGGTAGAGAGCCCCAGGGTTCAATTACAAAAACAAAACAAACAAACAACAACAACAAAAAAAACAACAACCTGCTGGGCACAGTGGCACTTACCTATAATCCCAATGGCTTGGGAGGCTGAGGCAGGAGGATCGCAAGTTCAAAACGAGCCTCAGCAACAGCAAGGTGCTAAGCAAGTGGGTGAGACCCTGTCTCTAAGTAAAATACAAAATAGGGCTGGAGATGTGGCTCAGTGGCTGAGTGCCCCTGAGTTCAATCCCCAGTATCTCCCCTAAATAAATAAATAAATAAATAAACAAACAAATAAACAAACTAAAAAGGGGTATGGATGTGGCTCAGTGGTAGAGAGCTCCGGGATTCAATCACCAGTACTGAAAAAAGAAAGAAAGAAAAATAGTTTCTGAGAGGGGGCATCATTGCTAGTGACGGGACCCTGGTGTGACTGCCTGCAGAGCAGCACTTTATACACTGAGTGCTGTAAGGCCAGGAGGTCACAAGGGGGTCACAGGCCATAGCTAGTAAGAAAGTGGCCCTTGGTGGCATGCTCGCCATATGCCAATGTTYTCCTGTAAAGTCCCACAAGGCAGGTGTGACTATTGATCCCATTTCACAGAGGAGTACACGGAGGCCTAGGGTGGAGTTGCTCAGCAGAGACATGGGGACAGAGCCTTAAACCCTGCTCTCCCTCACAGCCTGGTCCCCTCTGGCTCTTTGGGGCCTGGCTGAGGTCCTGAGCTCTCCGATGCTCTTGTCTGGGTGACGCACAGTCCAGTCTCCCTAGCCAGACAGGACAGGAGTGCCTGACCCCCTGGGCTCTGCACAGGGCCTGGCAGRTGGCAATGACATCTGTGGAGGGTGATGGCCTCTTCTTTCCTCCCTCCCAGGAAGTACATTGTGTCCTGCAAGCAGGCGGAGATGCCCCTCTCTGTTCCCTGGGACCCTAGCAACCAGGTAAGGCTCTCTGCTCCAAGGAGACAGCCCTCAGGCCCACCAGGGTCCCCTCACCCTCCCTATTGGAAGGAGACCTGAAGGGAACAGGGACTTGGGAGGCCGACRCCTTGCTCAGAGGGTTAGTCTTCGAGGGACTTGCCTACGTGCCCTGGTTGGCGGAAGGGAGCTGAGGCCTGAGAGCAGCTTGTCTGGGTCAGAACCAGCCTGCACTTCCTTCCCCAAGGCCTCAGGCTCTCCTCCGGCTCTCCCATGCCAGTGTGGCCTTGACCCAGGAGCCTCAGGAGGGAGGGCAGCCTCTGTGTGCTCTTCCTAGGTGTACCTGAGCTACAACAACGTGTCCTCCCTGAAGATGCTCATGGCCAAGGACGACTGGGTGCTGTCCTCGGAGATCAGTCAGGTAGCTGACCCTGCCCACCCATGTTTTCTCTCCCTTCTGAGTGGCCAGAGGAGGCTGGTGGCCGGTGACAGGACCTCTCAGGCCGCTTATGGCAGAAGGGGATTTCTTCAAAGCAATTCAGTGACACCATGAAACCAACCCAGTTCTAGAAACACGCCTGTCCCCAGGGCCTGGAGCAGAGAAGCCCCAGCCCTTCCCTCCTGCCTGCGTGTCTGCTGCTCTCTACCCAACACCCCTCCCTCCCTCTGCCCCTCCTATAGTGAGTCACCGCGGGGATGAGGGAAGTGGAGTAGCATCTGAGCTCTGCCGCGCTTACCTGCACCTTGGACAAATCAATTGCCCACCGGTGATGCGAGGAGTCACAGGGACACCTGGCTCTGAGGAGCCCCTTCATTGCTGCCTCATGCACTGCTTAAGATTCCTTCYGGTCCGTCCCTTTGTGCTGACTTTGATCAGGGATCCATTCTGTGGGATGCAGCCGAGGCTGAGAGAGGTTTAAGCGCCAGGTCACAGTCACACAGCGAGTCAGTGGCCACCCTGAGCTTTCAGCCCCTGCCCCCAGCATCCCAGGCAGCACCCTATCACCCAGCACAGTCTGGGGAGGAGGTGCAGGGCTGAGGCTGCCCTTGGTCCATGCAGGTCCGCCTGTACAGCCTGGAGGAAGACAAGTTTTTCTCCTTCCATCTGGAGATGGTGGTGCACGTGGATGCAGCCCAGGCCTTCCTGCTGCTCTCAGACCTGCAGCGCAGGCCGGAGTGGGACAAGCACTACCGGTGAGGGCCTGGGGGCTAGCCAGGCTGGGTCCCTTCTCAGGACTGGGGTGGGATGTGGTATCTCCTGTGGAGCTGTCCCACCTCATGCTCGCCCCTGCTGGCCTTCAGTGGGAACTAGGAGTGTGGTGGGAGATTGTAGTCATGTTAGGTGGGGTCAGGGTCATAGGCATTTTTAGCTCTCAGGGAAGAGACGGAGCCTGGGATTGGACTTGGAGGCCTGGATTTAAGTCCTGTTTCTGCCCTAACTAGCTGTGTGACTTGGGGCCCCACTTCCTTTCTGGGCCTCAGTTTCCTCCCTCTTAATATGGGTACTTGGAATGGGAATCATGGATTTATCCTCAGAGGATATTCAAACCACATTCTGTGGAGTTCTGCTCCCAAGGGGGCCCAGGGATTGCTTAGAATGAGGTTGGGAGGCTGAGGGGTGGGTGGGGCTCCCTCCCATGTTTAGACCATCTAAGTAAAGTGGCCAACTTGCAGAATTTAGTTTGTCAATTTTTTTTAAGTATGTATGTGAATGTTACTCTTATTTATTGATACCAGGGATTGAACTCAGGGSCACTCAACCACTGAGCCMCATTCCCAGCCCTTTTTTTGTATTTTATTTGGAGACAGGGTCTCACTGAGTTGCTTAAGGCTTTGCTAAGTTGCTGAGGCTGGCTTTGAACTCACRATCCTCCTGCCTCAGCCCCCCAAGCCGTTGGGATTACAGGTGTGCACCACCATGCCTGGCCAATGTTACTTTTAAATATAGTGATTGACTACGAATGTTATTCCTTTGAATACATTTGTTCCCTAAATTTACTGATTCTTCGTGTATCTTTTTTTTTTCCCCCCCTCAAGCAAGCAGGAATCTTTTTGAAAAAGGAAGGTGAGAAAAAGACTTAGAACTCCTAGTGCAGGGCTCCTGGGAGAGGCAAGAGTGCCTGATTTTTATATATCTTCTTGAATTTAGTCAGGGAAGATAAATATGTTTTAGGAAAATAGCCAAAATGTCAGTGCTCAATATAGGAAAGTTAATGTTTAAACTTGTGTTTTCTTCAAGACCCTCAAAACATTTTCTGTTATGCAAACACCCTAGGTCTGGGGGTCTTTGGTCACCTCTCCAATGGCTTACATGAGGAGCCTCCATAAGGAGGGTCTGTGTGTCTGGCAATACAGGGAACTGTCATTTGGCAAGTTGATTTTTTGTTTTCTTGATGCTGGGGGGCCAAACCCAGGGCCTCATGCATGCTAGGCAAATGCTTTACCACTGAGCCGTACCTATCACAGTTGACTTAAGACAACTTGGCTTTCCCCTTCCTACCTGGTCTGCCTGCCCCAGTCTGGCCTGCTTGGCAGCATCAAACCTGCTGAAGATCTCTTCACAGGAAGGGTAGTGCTACTCTAAAGAGCCCAGGCCTGCTGGGTGCACTCTGGGAGACTGAGAGCTGGTGGGTGGTGGATGTGGGAAGGTGGGGTGCTGGAGGAGGTGGGCTAGTGATCCTATGGAATCTTGATACTTGATGGCACCTGGGGTCAGGGTGGAGAGTCCCCTGAGGGTAAAGAGAATCTCCAGCCTGTTTCCSTTTCCCCTGCCCACAGCTACCCCACTCCCAAGACAGCCTCCCAGTGTAGGGGGAGAGCCAGGGAGGTGGCCGGTCTGGACATGGCTATACATATCTGTGTGGTTCTCCTGTGTGTTGACGTGAGCCTGCGTGCATGTACCTAGGTATGTGTGTGCCGTATGCCTGGGGTTACAGTTCTCTGCCTGGAGGCTGAACATCCCAGCCCTGTGTCCCTCTTAGCTTTACAGTTAGGAACAGGTGATTGTCCTGTCTCAGCCCCTCGTCTATAACGTGGGGATTCTGAGGGTGCCCACTGCACAAGGCTAGGCCAGAGACATAATATGCATGTATCCCTGAAAATAGTACCTGGCACACAGTGGGTACACACTAAAAATAAACCACAACTACCAAGCCTTCATACCTCTGTGGGACACACAGATGTACACAGATGCGTGTTCACAGTTATCTACCCATGTCTGTCACGTGTGAATGGGTTTATACGTGGCTTTGTCCCTGGGTATTTGCTTGTGTGTCTGTGTGAATGTGCCTGTGCCTGCATGTGTCCTTGGCTAGGCCTTCAGGTCCTGTCTGGGTCCTGCTGACTAGTGCAGGGAAAGAAGTCTCCATCACAGATGGTGCTGAGGGCGGCTGTGGCATGTGGGGCCCAGCAGACCCACTGTCCCACGGGAGCGGGTGTGGCTCCCTGGGCCCTGAGCTCTGGCCTCCCCCAGGAGCGTGGAACTCGTGCAACAGGTGGACGAGGACGATGCCATCTACCACATCATCAGCCCTGCCCTTGGTCGTGATGCCAAGCCCCAGGACTTTGTGATCCTGGCCTCAAGGCGCAAGCCTTGTGACAATGGGTAGGTGCCTACCTTCTGGGGATGCAATAAGGTGGCCAGYTGGGGAGGCCTCGTCCCCCTCCCTGGGGAGGCAGCATCATCCTGGAGTTAGACTCTGCTTCCCATTGGTTGTGGGATCCAGGCCCCACTAGATTTTTCTGGGCTGCCGTGGTTTTACTGTGGGTAAGGTGGGAAATGAAGGCCCACACTTTATCTTGAGTCACCTCTGCTCTAAAGCAGGGCCCTCTGTGGCCTGGGTGGCCAAAGTTGCCACACTCAAGGCTCTGGACAAGGCACTTCTCACACGGRCTCCTTGGACTCTCCTCTTTGTGACTGGAGGGCCACGAGCCTGYCACTCTGCCACTGGTGGGGAGGCCAAGATAGTGGTGTCCCTTCTGCTCTAGACAGGGGCAGGGGGATGAATAAAATCGCATGCGGCTCTCCCCCTGCCTGTCCACAGTGGAGACTTTTCCAGGGGACCCCCCCCACAAAGCTCAGGCTTGGGGGATGGGGTGGACCMTCCTTTCTGTGGCTGATCTCTGCCCCCTCCGCTTCCCTCCACTCCAGGGACCCCTATGTCATTGCGATGAGGTCAGTCACGCTGCCCACCTACTGCGAGACACCAGAGTACCGTCGTGCAGAGACCCTCTGCTCAGGCTTCTGCCTCTGGCGCGAGGGGGACCAGTTGACCAAGGTGAGGCCTGGCGTCCAACAGCATTGTTTTGAACGATACTGAGCTCAGTGCTGCTGGGCTAGGACAAGTGCAGACCTGGATCCCCTTCCAGCATCCTCCCTCTCCCAACCTGGGGGAGCCTCAGAGTATCGGAGGCTGGAAAGGAGGCTGYATTAAGATCTGATGGGTGCGACTAAGTGAGAGCCTGGAGAAAGCTCAGGATGCCGACAGCAGAAGGCTGGGTTCTGATCTAAAAATTAATCTCATTATTTATTTACTTGTATACTTCTTGTCGGGGAAGGCTTTATATGGCTCTGAGGCCCATAAAACTCAGCAAGGCAGTCCGCGTTAATTGAAAAGGTGGGGAGGAGGCTGAGAAAGTGGGGACTGCAGCTCCCACACCAGCTTCCAGCTCCTGTGGGGCCCTGCAGCTCCAGGCTGGTGAGCCTCAGCCAGTGTTGGCTACATCAACACACTTGAGCCAACARACTCAGGGGGGGCCATGCTCCAGGCTGAAGTCCAACGTTTTCTCTGCAGCCCCAGAGCACCTTTATTTAAGGGGGATTCTGTAGGAGGTTCTGGAGACATAGTCCCTTCCCTGAATGCCACATAACTGAGGGAAAAGATGCCCAATGACAGTACAGTGGGTRGTGACTGGCAGCCAGGGTTGTCAGCACACTGAGGAGGGTCAGGGGAAACCGGCTGGAGAAGGTCATGCCTATTAACTGACCTTCAAGACTCCCCGGAGCTGGGCTGTATCTGCTGCTCTCCCAGATAGGCGACTCTCCCCACCCCCGCCTCATGCCCAGGGGTAGGCCATGCCCCTCACCCTTCTCTGCTTCCCTGAGCATGGCTTCCCACCCTACAGGTGTCCTACTACAACCAGGTCAGCCCAGACATCCTCAACTATGTGACCACCAACGTGTCCGGCCTCTCCTCGGAGTTCTACACCACCTTCAAGGCTTGTGAACGCTTCCTCCTGGACAATCGCAATGACCTGGCCCCCAGCCTCCAGACCCTCTAGGCTCCCCTCCAGCTGCCCCGAGGACTCTCGTGCCGTGCGTGGAGGAAGGCAGAGGCATTTATTCCTCCTGCCTCCTGCAGGGAAGCCTGGACCTAGGAGTTGGCTGGCCAGGGACCACTGGGCGGTCAGTTTCTGCCAACATCTGCCCATGAATCCTTATGGTACCCCTGGGGGGGCCTGCAGTAGACTCTGGTCCTGTCCACCCCGCTGGCTGCCAGCAGCCCTGCCCACACAGCTGAACAGCTGCTCCCAGTGGGGCTGTGCTGCACTGTGACGGTGGCCTGGGGGGAGGCTGCCAGCAGCCTGGCCACGGCTCCCACCATGCTCTGGTCCAGTGGCCCGGCTTGCAGCTGGAAGGACACAGGTTGCCTGAGTCCCTGGAAGAGCTCCAGCATATCCATGAGCAGCTGCTCCCCATATCCACTGCCTAGCACCTCCTCGGGCCAGCTGGGTGCCACGGTCACATGGGGGAACACCTCAGCCACAGCCTTCAGGAACTCTTTGCCAGCCGTGTGGCCAGGGACCACAAAACTCCCATATGAGATTGTGGCCCCKACCCACACAGGCCGAGGCAGATGGCCAAGGGCTGAGAGATGTGCCAGGATGGCCAGGGATGGACGGAGGGCTGCGGGCTCTGCTATGTGCACGTGGAGGCCCCAGCGCCCAGGGCGCGTGGCCAGCTGCAGCAGGCATGACTCCAGTGTCAGGGCAGCACTGCCTGGGGCACGGACGATGGGCACAGAGTCCCTGGCTGCAGTTCCCTGGAGACCAACGTCCAGCAGGATCACGCCTTCTCTGTCTGGAAGAGGCAACCATGGCTAGTCTCAGGTTCCCACGGGAGCCAGAATCTCTTGTTAAAAGGGCACRGGTGGGGTGGGGGTGTGGCTATGGGGACGGCCTGGCCTCTGTGGAATCCTCTAACCTTGTTCTGGGTTCCAATTGTGGTGTCTGGTACTTGTCAAGACTAAAGTGATAAGCTGCCAGCTCAGCTCTTGGTCTTTACTTGTGACATAGACCTGGGGCAGATGCCAGCTCCTCCTCTAGCATCATGTGACTGAGGACTCAAGAGTGCTGGTCTGAAGGCCAGGAAGCCGGTGCTCTTGAGACTACYGCACTCCCCCGGCCCCACCCTACTTTGTATCCAGTGTGTGGCTTACAAGGGCCCATGTTGCCATGGTAACCGAGGTCCAAGGTCCACTGGTAAAGGACACCCTTGCAGGTCAGCTAGGGGTACCAGGGCTGTAGACAGACTTACCAGGGAGCGTGATCATTGCTGTTCTGCCATTGCCTTGCACTTCTGGAAGCAGCCACTCCACGCCCAGACCATCACCCGAGGGTGGCTGGAGAACAGGGATCAGGCTGCTGCCGGTGTAGTACATTCGTTTCCTTGTGGTATTTACTGTGGGGTCCAAAATTGTTGAGATGAAGTGGCAACCATTCAGAGTGCCTTCTATATGCCCTGATTCTACCATATTCCAAGACTCTTGCTGTCATCTCCCCACTTTGATAGACTAGGAGAAGTGATTTGCCYAAGGTCCTTCAGCAGTTAGTGGATTGGAACTGGATGGAACCAGAGCTAGATGTACCCACAGCTAGTATCCTCCCCCTCACTTAGGTAGCTCCCACAGTGGGAATGTGGACTCTGATGGGACCCCCTGTATCCACTCAGCTGCAGGGTCAAGGGAGCAAATATGCACAGTAGCATCTGGATTATTAAGTCTCACCCACAGAGAGACTGTGCTACATGGAAAGTCTATAGGGTTGGAATTTGCTGAGTTCTGATAAGAGCTCTGCCTTGATAAGATCTGATGACATATAAACTCTGTAACTGTTTACACCTGTTTCCCTACCTATAAATTGGAACTCTGGCTTCATGAATAAGACACTTAAATAGAATGCCATCCCGGGGCTAAGTTGCAATAGCAGAATCTCTCCTCCTATTCCACCCAGGATCTTCCCCTTCTGATGTCACTTCCCCCCAGCTCTGCACCAGGGCTGGCCCAGGGGCTGCCCTATGCAGAATCCAACCCACACCACCCTCTCCAGGCTTCTTCCTTACAGGCCTGCTGCTTGAACTGCGACAGGACAGGCTCAAAGAGGTCATAGTAGACTTGGTGGGCGGCGGTGTTGTCCCGGATGTAGAGGAGATCATCCACTGACACGGGGTCGGAGGCGCCCTGCCACAGTGTCAGGCTGTACCTGGGCCCAGACAGCTGGCTCAGTGCCAGTCTGGGCCCAGCAAGACCCTCGGCTCCCCTCCCGTGCTCAGAACCAGAGGCTGGCTGGGCCCAAGGGTGGGGCACCAGTCCTCCAGTGTCACACAGCCCCTCCTCCCTGAGCACTGCCCATTCCTGGGGGTAACTGCAAGCCAAAGTCTGGGAGGACAGAGGAGCTGTCYGCTCAGAGTGCCTATTTTCGAGCTCTGCCTTAGGAAAGGGACAAGGACAGAGGGCAAGGTGTGGGGAGGAGGTCAAGTGTGAAGAGGGGAAGTGGGCCACCTTGGGACTTTTGTGGGGAAGGGCTGAGAAAGGGAGGGTTGGGTGGCTGTGAGCTGGCTGCAGGGTAGGGTGGGGGGGGTCCCTTGAGCCCTATAGGGCTATTCTGGGCAGAGGTTGTAGGTGTAATCTCTGCAGCCCCACGGGCATAGGTGGTCTATGGGAGGAAGCTGCCGGGAGATGGATTCTGTCTCATCTCAGAATAAACATTTGTTAACAGGCAGACAGTTACCCACCAATGGAAACCTGCCCTYCCCACCCCCAGGAAGTAGTGAGCAGCCCGTCACCAGAGGTATACAAATAAAAGACAGGGACATTGTAGGTGGGAGCACCAGTAGGGTTGGATAAGATGATCTTTAGGACTTTCTAGCCTAAAGGTCGGGATCAGGGATCTTCCCCCGGCATCTAATCCTGGAGGTGGGGATTAGATGGAACCAGCAGGGGCTTGAGAGCAGCTGTGGGGTTTCACCTTTCCGACTGGCCCAGCAGCCAGCTGAAGTGGGGCCAGGCAGCCCGCACCATGACAGCCCGCACAGGGAAGGTGACCCTCTGTGGTAGCGCTCCCACCATCTCCTGCATCTTCTCCACCATGGCTTGGGTGTAGGTGCTGTTTGGGATCAGGGGCRTATAGAGGGTGGTCCAGCCTGGAGACAAGGTGGCTTGAGGATACTTCTCCTGGACCAGTGCCAGGAACCTGCAGAGAAGGGAGACACTGGCCTTTCAGAGCCACGCTGGTCCTGTCCTCATCACAGCGAGAGGAAGTGGCGGGGCCTGTTGAATCTGTGACAGGAGGGCGGCTGCAGAGCCTGAGGAACAGAGTGACTTGTTCACAGACCCACAAGTGGGGCGTGCACTCTGGAGCCAGGGAAGTCTGGGTTYAGGCCCTGACTCTGACCTGGGGCTGGTCAACCTCTGATTCTCAAATAACAGCATCACTTCCGAAAAGGAAGGGCTTCTCCGTCTCTGTACTTGGGATTGAACCCAGGGGCTCTCGACCAATCATCTACATCTCCTTTCCTTTTTAATTTAATTCTGTATTTTCAGATAGGGTCTCACTAAGTTGCCAAGGCTGGCCTCGA